GGCATTTGGGTCTTCTAACTAAAATGGGAAAATAGGAACATAAATAGTGCCATCATTGCCAGACCTGGCCCACATCTGGTTGACATACACCCTACCATGACATCAGTCAGTCAGAAGTGGCAGTGTGACGCCAGATCTGGGCCAGACCTGTTTTCTATAAGCCTTGGCCACATAAACCAAACCACAATCAAGCCAGATGTGGCAAGCCATCACATAGACAGTGGCATCATTGCCAGGCCTGGCTCATATCTGGATGACATATGTCTTTACATGCCAGAAGTCAGCCAGCAGTGCCGACTTGACACCAGATCCGGGCCAGACCTGCTTTCTGTGTGGGTTTTTGTAAATACCATCAGTATTTTTATTTTTATTTTTTATGCCAAAACCCAGTTTGCTCTTGTGCGATACGTTGGTAGCTCAAAGTCTGAAGATTTTCTAAACTGTTTATATCATCTATGATATCAAGTAACTGAGGTTTGTATTTTGTTGCAAGGTCTGTCAGGGCTGTTTGACTCCCGTCTCCATCATGCCAGCCCCTCAGGTCCCGACCCCTCTGTCATGAATCTGATTTCAGTTCTGGATTCACGGCCTCCACAGCCCTCACCCTCTGCTTCCTCCCTTCTCTCTCAGTTCCACACATCCTCTTGGCAGACTGGTGAGTGTCAGCCTGTTGTAGGAACAACATTTAAAAAAAAATAAAAACAAACTATTGTCAGTCCTAGTTCTTAAACTTAAAATAAAACGAAGTCAAATTTCAATCCTAAAAGTATTTTCACTGATTCTATAAGCAAAAAGTAAAATTTCTGTAGTCTCAAAATAAAAGTAAAACAAATGACAATTTTTCAAAAATGAACTTTTGAAAGAAGTTCATTTTTTCAATGACTTAGACTGACCAACACTTTCTATGTAATATTGTGTCCTGTAGCCATGCATACACCGGCCCCAACGGACCTCTTTATTTCAGGGGCACTTCCAGGTTCAAGCTCCTTTCCCTCCTCCTCAGCCCTTTCTGCATACCAGAATCCTAGCATTTTTTCTGGACGATCATTCACGCCCTCATTATCCCTGCAGGATACAACTACATTTAGCCGAACTTCTAATGGCTTGATATCCCCACATGATCCCTTGGTACATATCAAAAGATCCTCTCAGTCCAGCTTGGGCTTTGATCACTTGCTGTCTTCCCAGAGCACTGCCTTCCGGGGCTCCCAGGAATCTGCAACTCCCCAGACCCAAGACCCTTCCACTTCCTCCAATTGCCACCTGTCCCCTCCCCACTTTAATCTGTTGCCCTCTCAGCTTCATAACTCATCCTCTCAACTATATAATGCCTCGATGTCCTCATCGATGGCAGCCCTGCCACCTGCAGTTCTTCCTGAGCCTCAGCCACTTCCACAGACAGCAATTTCCCGCCATGATAGTGTGATCAAGCATTACCCTTGCTCATCTTCAGCCCACACCACAACCCTACAATCACAATCCTATGCCAGCTCTGGTGGTTCATCTGGCTACCACCAGCTAGTCAGCCATTATCAGCATTCTGGTGTGTCCTGCAGTCCACTGGGGAAACTGAGCGTATCCTCTGACCCCAAGACCTCACCACAGATGGAATCCCAGATATATCAACCTGTCATCCAAACAGCCTATACCTCATCATTATCCAGCTCCTCAACTCCCTCCTCCTCTTCAGCTACTACTAAAGGTGCCAAAAGTTCCTGCTCCACAAGTAACTATTCGTCTTCTTCCTATACCCCACAAACTCCACCACCAACCTCCTCCACCACCTCCTTATCCTCTTCTAGCTCAAAGACCAGAACTATTTCTCTGTCTGCTCCCTCTCTTCAGCAACCCACACCTCAGTCAGCACTAGTACCACCTCTTCTCCCAGTGGTGTCATCATCCCTTGTACAACAAGCAGCAGCCAGTCAATGTCTGTCCACCTATGGCTCTCAATCTGTGACCAAACCTAGCACGAGCTTGCCAAACCAGACCCCTCCCCAGAAACACATTCAGTCGTATTCCCCCAACCTGCCACCATCTACACACATGAATGTGCATTATGATGGCTTCAACTCACCCCATGTCCGGGATTTGAGCACTGGAGCAAGGAGCAGTGGGGGGAAAGACATCATGGGTGTAGGCTCTGGTGAACGCTCCTTCTCTGCAGAGATAATTGCTCAAGACTCAAGTTTTGTCTCAACATCTCTCAGAAAACCACACACTCCATCCACTGAATATGGGAGTGGATCAGCTGGGAGTGGACCTGGTATTCACAGTGTAGTAGGCTCTGTGGTAACTGGGAACGGGGCTGCTGGTAATGAAGGCAGTAGCGCCTATCACCTGACTGAGTCTAGTACATCACCTTCAACCAATTCTACTATCAGTTATTCAGGATTGCACTCTCCTGTAGCTGCTCGACCTGTACAGTCCCCTGGAGGCTCAGGGGCAAATAAATACTTTTCTTCGATCCCAGCTCCTACTTTTATGTCCTCACCACAAGGTTTCCCTGATAACCGACAAGCTCGGAATCAGTTGTACCAGTCAACACCCCCGAACACCAAAACAGAGGCCACAAACATGCTGGGAGCTGAGGAATCCCAAGACGAAGGAAACAGTGAAGATTTCCTTATCCACCACTTACTACGTCCACAAAGCTCAAATTCCCATTCTTCCCAACATCACCCACATTCTGAGCAACTGTCTCAACCAATCCTTCATGGGGAGAGCAAGGGAATGACACACGATCTTAACAAGACATCAGAAGAGCTCTACCAGTTTCAGAGTGTCATTCGTACCAATAACATTACCAGCAATTCTGGTCTTGGAATGGCAATTAATGATACAGTGAGCTTAGACAGACCATTAGGAATATCACAGAAGAAACAGCAGGCCAGGTCAGACTCGATCATGTCAAAGTCAAATACTTCAGGGGTGCGAAGAATATCTGATTCTCATTCTCATGCCATCCACTCGCATCATCAGCAAAATGAGTTAATGGGTTCTGCGGTCCATTATGGAAGAGGTGATCCCTACATACAGCACCCAAACTCCCAGCATCCTCATAGCACTTCACATGTGTCCACACACTCTCAGCACTACACTCAGCACTCTCAAATCTCCCAGCACTCTCTGCACACTCAGTATAGTCATCGTAATTCCCTCCCACAAAGTCATTCTCATATAGAGATTAAGAAGCCTTCAGATGCAAATGACAATGCCTACTATGCACCAGATGTACAGCAAACTCGACAAAGCCATGTCTCTGTCACTCTGATGAATATGTCACCAGACCATCCCAAGCAAACTCACATGTTACAGTCTGTCCCTTCTCACACTATTCAAAACAAGCTGGATTCCCAACAAGCCCCACAGCAGCAACAGAAGCACCACCACCAACAGCAGCAATATCAGCAAGCTATGATGGGTTCAGTTAGAAGAGCAGGGTCTGCTGGGTTGGAATCCCATGTACAGAACCAGTCCTCACAGAGTCTAGATACCCACTACAGTGGAACCCATCCAACGTATCAAACACGAGCCAGTCAGAGTTCAGTATCTCCACTACAGATGCTAGATCAATCACTTTCTCAGGCCAATGGTACAGACAGTGGAAAATCTCTGGACAGAAGTGGAGCTGATATGACTGTGACAGGACAGGAAAGAGATAGAGGAGACAGACATACACAACAGCACAGACTTAACACCCACCAGCATCCTCAACAAACAAAATCGGATCTTCATGACTTCCTTTCTGAACAAGATTTGGACTTATACACCCCTTCACACTTGAGCCATCTCAACCAACCTCAGACCCACCCCCACACCCATGCTCTGCAACACACTCAGCACACTCATCATCAACTGTCTGTTACCACTCAGAAAACTCATTCACACTTGCAACAGATGACAATACATTTAGCAACACCCCAACAACAGCAACCCCAGGTCACAGATCCTGAAACACAACTCTCACACTCACAGTTAGAGCAGCTCAAACAGCATCAATTTGAGACAGTAAGCCAGACAGATAAAGTAGGACAGACTCAAGCTCAACTGCAGCAATGTGCACCTTTGACCTCAATCTGCTTTCCAGACTGTGTTTTTCCTGAGATGGAGGATCTGTTTTGTTCATCTGAATACAAATCAAGCTGTGCAGGGGCAGGACACAGTGCTCAAGAAAACCTCAGCCAGGGTCACAGACCGACACAAGAGGATATGGAGGCTTTAAAATCAGGAGATGCTGCAGAGGGCTATAATATGGTTGGTCATCAAAGCAATCAAGGATTTGGACAGTACTGCCAAAGACTTTCAAGAACAGGAAATGGTGATCTGCACTTAGTCCATGACTGTCTGAAGACTCATGAGCTTCCTTCCACTGTGAATACTGACCAGCTTGGCCTCATCCAATCCCAAACTCCCATTATGGGATTGAATTCAGCAGTTCAAGAGGATAGCTTAGTCAACAAGATGATAGCAACTGTGGGAGCGGATGAAAAATCCAACAGCACTGGTGTAACCTCTCCTATCTTCTGTTCCTCTCGACCCAAAAAACTGCTGAGGACCAGCTCATTTCACTTGCTTAAACAGCGACGTGAGCCACAACCTCAAACAAAGAAAAACTATGCGCAGGAGTATGAATTTTGGGATGACGAAGATAAAGCTGATGTTCCAGCAGATATTCGCCTTAACAATCGCCGGCTTCCTGACTTGCTGCCTGACTTGGTGTCCAGTTGTAGAAAACCTGGTGGGGTTTCTGGAATAAGTGGACTAAGCCCACAAATAGGTGACATGGCCTTTTGCCACCCCTCCAGCTACTCTTCTCTTGGACACCCTTCGCAACCCCCCCCTCACGATGGTCCTAAGAAAAGGGGCAGGAAACCAACTAAACCAAAACGTGAAGGACCTCCTCGGCCACGAGGTCGCCCACGTATACGTCCTCTTCCAGAACCTCCTTACTGTAGGTGCCTGTTGGGCTCTGCGGCTGGAGAAAATAGGAGGGGGCGTAGCCGAGGTCGAGGGCGAGGCAGACGGGAAGAAGGAAAAGTGCAAATGCATCGGGATATGAACAAAACACAAACCCTTTCATATAATCACCAGCAACAGTATCAACAGCAACAGTGCAGCCAACAACAGCACCTCCAACATCATCAACAGCAACATCACAGGCAGCAGGCGGATCTCCATCAGCAGCTCCAACAACATCACCACCATCACCAGCAAGAACATGTTTCCTGTCCCCACCCTCAACTGCATCATCATCAACAACAGCATACATCTCACCAGCCACAGCAAGATCCAGTCAGAACTTTTAAGGTAATGCAGAAAATCTGGTATGTAAATCTGGAATCATGATCCTAAGCAGGGTAAAACCTGTCTTAGCTTGGATTCTTCTTAATAACCTATCTTTTTCTCAGATCAAACTGCCCCTTGCCACTATGTCTCCACCAGAGTCCTTGTTGAGGACAGACTCGCTATCCAGCAGTGAGCCTGTTCTCTCTGAGGGATCGGTGGGGTCGGCACCATCTCTGGGCTTGAGTCCTGGTCCCACTACCACTGTTGACTACAACAGAAATGAGGGGAATCAGACAAAAGACGAGATGATGATACATCAGCAGAGAGCGAAGGAGGTAAAGAAAACTAAGAAGAAAAGAGGCTTCTCATAAAAGCTGCAATAGAAATGTCTGATAAAAGTGTATTTTATCTGCTGCACTATAACATTTTGGAAACAGATGTCTAAAGGTGTCATTCTGCAAATTTGAATGGAAGTTCGCAGTGCGAGGCAGGCCGAAGGTGAAAGTTTTCTCCCCTGAGTCAGATTATATTTTAAGAACGGGGGGACTTTTTTTATGGGAAAGCCAGATGACTAATTCTGTAAACAAAAGAAATTACTGTTTAAGCGAAAACATAATTATCTGAAGAGTGGATTTTGTTTTAGTGAACAAGAAAATAGTTTTAAAAAAAAGAGCTCAGAGACATAGGGAGAATAAAATCTGCCATCCTCTGCTTTAAAAAAATAATCACATAACCAGTATGAACCTTTTGTGATTTTTTTGTAGTTTAATTGGTCCATAAATACTTACCGATAGGTTTAGTAGAATAAGCGGGTAACAATATTTTTAAAGAAATGAAGTAGTGGGTAACTTTGAGGTGTTTTACAGAAATGAGACATTCATAACACTGTAAGTAATTTTAATTAGTGTCTAACTTTCTCCATCTTACGTAAATATGCTGTAGTTTTAGATACAAACGACCTTATGTGTGTACATTTTTATATATCAATTTGTTATTGAGTCATTTAATGTTTTCACAGCTTTATTTAATATTCATTTTCTTTGTGTGCTGACGGCTGTTTGACTATTCCACTATCCTTTTATAATACAACATATATGTTTTATATATAAAAATATGATGAAGGCCTTTGCCTGTCTAATGAGAGACAGAGAGAGAACAATAGAGCAAAATAAATTTTTTTAAATAAATATTGTTCAACTTCAACTTTCAAAAGCACCATAAGAAAACTACAAAAACCAAACATTTGTGAATGAAGAAAGACTTCAATAGAAGAATTTTTTTATTTAAATAAAAAAACAAAACTGATTAACATAATAATAAACAGTACTTTTATTTATATTTCTCTTTATTTGTACATTTATGTTATTGTCTGCTTCTTTGCTTTTCTTTTTTATAGCCATTCTTTTCTTCTTTGTTTCTTTTTGTCATGAAAATGAATCTGTGGGAGAAAATTCTCTGGCTCTTCTCAACAATGTTGCTCATTATTCTGCTAAAATGCATGGAAATCAAACACTACTTATAATTACTGACAGTATAATTTCTTTCTTCATTCATATAAAAACTGGAATTGTAACTCTTTATTCTAGTATGCCCATTAGTAAGTCTTTGCAGGTAAATTAAATGGCCTACATTAAAAATGTTTTTTTTAAAAACACATTAAAAACTACTTTAAGATGGGGGAATGAGACCTTCAGTTATGAGCCATGTTATAAAGTGAAGTTCAGAATAAACAATGAGCAGAAACAGATTTATCCTTGTAGTCGTGTAATATCATTTGTGCTGAGGTCTTGCATCTCAGTGTTGTCTGTGAATGTGTGGGAGAAACAACTGTCACCATGAGTGGAACCTGACTGCTTTTACATGGCAGTTTCAACTTTGAGTTTCATGCTAGAGTGAAACGAAAGCTAGTTGCCATGGCAACGGGAAGATGCTCTGTATGTGCAATCAATATTCTCAGTATAAGGGACGCCTGAAATCTCCCTCAAAATGAAAGTCGGTAATTGCACATTTAAGCAAAAGTCTTATTATTTAGTAAATGTTGTTAGCACTGCAAGTAAAAAACAGACTAAGTGTTAAAGTGCCGACTTGGCGTCTGTAGGACTCCACCTTCAAAATGGGTGAAAGACAATGACGTTGCAGGACAGTACAGCAAAAACATTGCTGTTTTTCTCGTGTTTAATTTCCTGAGACAATAAGTATTGGTTCAATAACAATACTCATTGTAGCTAAACTGGGTATCAAGTTTAACCTTTCTCTGTAATGGTTTGACCTATCCTTTGTTATATATTTATTTACCCTTGTCATTACGGTTTTAACTGTAAAACAGCTGGAGGTGGATGGTTGGAAGAAAGAAACTGACAATTCACTGAATCCTGAAGCCTGGACTGCTATGCAGAAACTCTCAAATTCAGTAAGTTCCTTTACTCCATTGCATAAATGAGGAAAGCCAGGAGCTTCATATATAATTCATATGTCATCTATTCAAATTCAAGCCTCTGGAAGAAGCATTTCTTCATAAATCAGGTAGTTATAGGCATTTAGACAATACCTGTGAAATAATGTGGCACTGATCCCTGGTAGAGTCTGCAGTGGAACAAAAGAACAACAGCATCAACACTATTTTAATTTGTATAATTTGGAAAGAAAGTGGATGAGGCTGATTGACAGCCAGCTTTTTCTGGCTTACAAAACGAAGAGGAGAGCGATGCCTGCCACCAAGGCAGCTGTTGCCACAGTTACTGCATTTTTCAGCACAAGACCTTAGTGCCATCTGCTGGCTGTTAAGCTGTACTACCAAGATCTGTATTTACTGCTAAAGTGGAAAACTCCTTCACAGCTCTTACAAACTTTATTATAATGGAAAAGTTAGATTGTTGTTTAGTCCACATGTAAAACATTCAGCACAAAGGGTGTCTCTTTATTTGCTATGAGCTATATACGCAATACATGGGCAAACGTATCGGGTCAATACAATGATTTGAATTCAGCTGTTGTCAGTTACCTGGCCAGTTTGTTTCAGTTGTGAAAGAATGAATTGTTCGAAAGAGTGCAGTGTGCTACAGTAATGGGATGCCACACCTGCAACAGCTTAGCTTGTAAAATGTATTTCTTCTAGATATTTGATAAGCATGTGAAGTTGCAGAGTGGGTTCACTGTTTGCTGAAGGGCATATTGTGTAAAAGTCACTCACTGAGGCCTACGCAGCTCTGCCCATGAAAGTAAACTTTGACACAAAATACTCTGTTTTATGACATCATAGCAAACTTGGAGGGTTTGGACTTTATGGATCAAATTACAAATCTGTCATTTACCTTAAAATAAGATAAGATAACTTTTATTAGTCCCACACGTGGGAAATCTGTTGTGTGACAGCAGAAAGTGGACAGTGCAAAGTTACAGTAGCAAAAATTAAGAAAAATAATGGAATTGGATAAGATAATAAGAATAGGATACTATATACAACTGCATTAAACACTTTAAACAACTGCATTAAACACTATATACAACTGAATTAAATAGTACGTTGTCAGAAAAAAGTAAAATTGCACTGTATTTCACATGTGTGGATGTGTGTGTTTGGTCATCTGCAAAGTCTTTGTTCTGGAGTCTGACAGCAGTGGGGAGCAAAGATCTGCAGAATCAGATCTGCAGAATCTCTCAAGTTGAAAATGCAGCCACTTAGGTGAACAACTGATGTGTATGGAGGGACACATCAGTGTCCAAAGTAGTGGTTTATGTGCAAGTATACCATCCACACTGACACAAATACAAGAAAACAGCCTTTGAATAGATGTCCACTGTAGTCTTTCTAAGTGAATGCTGGCAATTATTATGTCATAACACCATCAGTTATTAGCGTCTGCTTTTTTACAGATTGACGAGAAGGTCTTTGACTTCAAACCAAGCTTCATGGCCTCTTTTTTGGATTTTCTGAAGACAGGTAAAGTACAGCCAGCCCTTGAACCAAGACATGATGGAGGCAACCAAGAAACCTGTTCCTCTATGAGGGGAGGAATTAAATGCTTATCCTCACCATCTCCTCCCCTACCACCAACTTCTCCCCAGCAGCCTCCAGGACAGTTCAGCGATGGCAGCCCGGGTGAAGGGCCAGACCTAACCCTCAGTAGCTGCCAAAGTCCCTGCAAACCTCTGGATGATGAACTGAAAAGAAACCTGGAGACTCTCCCCTCTTTCTCCTCTGATGAGGAGGATTCAGTAAATAAGAACCAGGACTTGCAGAAGAGCATCTCATCTGCAATCTCTGCCCTCTATGACACTCCTCACTCACTGGCTGCTGCAGTGGCTTCTGCAGTAGTCAAAGCACAACCCATGCTTTCTCCACCCACGCCACAGGAGCCGTCGCTCAGCCCGCCTCTCAAGACCAATTCTCCCCTCATTCCTAGTATGGAGAGCATAAAAGATGGGGCACTTGCACACACTCAGCATAACACACAAAGTAAACAAAACACACGTGAGGAACAAAAAATGATCTCCACACTGTCAGACATGGAGGGGGTAGGATCTCAGCATGAAAGAGAAGAAGAAAACAGCAAGAAGGAGGAAGGCGAGGAGATGGCAAGCAAAGAAGAAAACATGAGGCATTCACACAATATGTTGCAGGGACCAGCGGAAAAGCAGGAGAGGGAGGATACAGCATCTGACACGCAGATTATGGAGGGCCATGATGGTATTTATATTTGTCCTCTTATTTCCTCTTTAACAGCTTCAGTTTGTAGTTACGTTCTGTGGTGCTCATCTGTGAGATGGCCTCCATTTAACACATGTGTAACTTCAGCTTGGTTGTACACTCAACAAAAATATAAACGCAACACCTTTGTTACTGCTCCCATTCCCCATGGGATGGACGTAGAGACCTAAAATTCATTCCAGATACACAATATAACCATCCCTCCCAAACAGTGGTCACAAATCAGTCCAAATGTGTGGTAGTGGGCACATCTGCTATATTGAGATAATCCATCCCACCTCACAGGTGTGCCACATCAGGATGCTGATCTGACATCATGAGTAGTGCACAGGTGTACCTCAGACTGCCCACAACAAAAGGCCACCCTGGAATGTGCAGTTTTTGGCTATTGGGCTGGGACTCCAGAACCGGTCAGTATGTGTGCCACATTTGTCATCAGTGCAACAATGCATGGAGTTGTCAGATTGTCAATTGTGGCCTGTGGAATGTTGGTCCACTCCACTTCAATGGCTGTGCGAGGTTGTTGGATATTCGTGGGAACTGGTACACGCTGTCGTATACGCCGGTCAAGCACATCCCGAACATGCTCAATGGGTGACATGTCCGGTGAGTATGCTGGCCATGCAAGAACTGGGACATTCTCAGCTGCCATCTGCCCTGAACAATGTGAACCATGATTCATCCGTGAAGCGCACACCTCTCCAACGTGCCAGACGCCATCGAATGTGAGCATTTGCCCACACAAGTCTGTTACGGCGACGAGCTGGAGTCAGGTCAAGACCCCGATGAGGACGACGGGCATGCAGTTGAGCGTCCCTGAGACGGTTTCTGACAGTTTGTGCAGAAATTGTTTGGTTGTGCAAACCAATTGTTCCAGCAGCTGTCTGGGTGGCTGGTCTCAGACGATCTTGGAGGTGAACCTGCTGGATGTGGAGGTCCTGGGCTGGTGTGGTTACACGAGGTCTGCGGTTGTGAGGCCGGTTGGATGTGCTGCCATATTCTCTGAAACGCCTGTGGAGACGGCTTATGGTTGAGAAATGAACATTCAATGCACGGGCGACAGATCTGGTTGACATTCCTGCTGTCAGCATGCCAATTGCAGCTCCCTCATTGCTTGTGGCATCTGTGGCATTTTGCTGTGAGACAAAACTGCACATTCCAGGGTGGCCTTTTGTTGTGGGCAGTCTGAGGTACACCTGTGCACTACTCATGATGTCAGATCAGCATCCTGATGTGGCACACCTGTGAGGTGGGATGGATTATCTCAATATAGCAGATGTGCCCACTACCACACATTTGGACTGATTTGTGACCACTGTTTGGGAGGGATGGTTATATTGTGTATCTGGAATGAATTTTAGGTCTCTACGTCCATCCCATGGGGAATGGGAGCAGTAACAAAGGTGTTGCGTTTATATTTTTGTTGAGTGTAGATGTTAGTGTCTCGCTGTTAAAACATTGTCTCCACTGTCAAATTTCTAAAAATGTGTCGTGTCCAAATTCATGGGCTGCATCCTCCTGAGGCCGCATTTGTAGACCGATTATGTCACAAGGCCGTCCAAATTCATAGACTCTTCCAAATACAGCCGACTAATGTGTCCTCCTTTTCCCCGAATTTGAAGGATGGGTCGGGTGTGTCCTTCGTGGCCCACCATATCCCAGAATTCATAGCACTGCTCAGCCAATTCCAGTTTTCAACAATGGTGGCCGCTACTAAGTTTTAATATTACTCTTATTATTCTTTCTGGGTCACAAAATAAACTTTAAAGATATTTTCAGGCGAGCATGTAGCGGTGTAAACTCCAAATATCTGCTCGGTTTATCAAGACATCACATATTTGCAAAAGTGCTCCGACGTTTTCGGAGACGTCTGCTACCCACCAGCTCGATAGCTGACCAGGAGGTCGAGGGTCACTACAGCTGCTGAGAATGGCAAACTCCCGGCACATCATTTTCAGATCACCGCGGTCTTTTGCTACTGAGGTTAAACGTAAGTCACTTATATAACCTAAAATGTTATTTTTTGGCTTTTTCGTGTTTTATTTGTTCCTGAGTAAATCGGTTTGGCTGAGACTAAAGTTATAGTTTTCACACAGCTGAATAAACGTCACACAGAAAACTGAAACAGAAGTGTGAGATGGTCGATAGTTTACTCCAGTGTCCTGTTATATTTTAGATAGCAAGGAGCAGACGGCTGAGCTTATTAAAGTCCACCGAGACAGCGGTGACGCTAATCTGAAGGCTTCCGGTCTACCCGACCTTCTGAGGACCCGGCCCACATAGACCGCGAAGGCCGGGTCCTCAGGAGGATGCAACCCATGAATTTGGACACGACAAAATTCTCTAGATCAGGGGTCGGCAATCTTTCTGATGATGAGTGCCATTTAAACTTTCCTCAGAAGTCAGTGTGCCATATGATTGCATTAGCAATAAATTTAATAACGCTCTATATGAACAGTTACACACTATATAGAACAACTTTATGGAATTATATTTGTTGACAGATGTTGGCAGCTGTCAGCGAATAGTTATCAGCTATTTTGAAACAAAGAAAAAAAGACTTTTTATCCATAACAACAAATGAACTGTACAACAGAAAATGCAAATGCTATTTATGGTCTCCTCACAACAATGATAAGAAAAATAAACTGGGCCAATATGGCATGTTTGTTAATACAGAGACACACATGTTAATGTGATCTGTGGTCTCCCACTCAGAGACACAGGTCTCCCAGTGTCCAGCATTCAGAGGCTACCTGAGGACTCATGTGAGAGAAAATCTGCTCACACAGACATGTAGAGACAAACACTGTCAATAAGGCCTCTGCAATGTTCTGAAGACAGTTAAACTTGTCAGGTAGTGATGTCCAGCAGGTGAAAATGCAGCTCCATGAACACGCACAGCTGTGGATTCCAGCTGCTTCGATGTTATATGTATGATTTCTATACATTTTACATCAGATAAAAACTTTGGTTGTAAGCTTCAGATAATTATTTAATAACAGCTAGACATTTTAAATGAGAATAAGAAAGTATTTCTTTGTGCCCCCCTTTCCCTGTTAATGCCCTACCTGGCCCCCTGGCAACACTTTGCTAGACCCGCCCCTGCACAGTTACCAGCTGTCAGCTACTATAGAAAAGGATCCTGGTGTTATTTGTCTCTCAGAAACAGTTCATAACTTCAACTCATTCATGTCACCTAAAAGGTAAACCTGTTTCTCCATCACAGCTCTGATGATTCAGTAAGGACATCTCCTGGTTTCATCTTCATGTTTCCCTCTCACCAATATCCAAACCGACATCATGACCAGCAGCTTTACAGCTGTGGCTCCAGCAAACATCAGCTGATACTAGAAATTAATATTAAATAAATTCTAACAACAGCTGATCAAGCTTAAACGTGCTGCTGTTGTTTAGCGCGACATCCGCTGGTTTCCTCTTTCTGGCGCAAAGTGGGCGATAAACAAACAAGAGAGAAAAGCCGATCAGCTGATCATTGATCAGTTTCATGATTGAAGTAGAAACAGGAGAGGGAGGGGAGAGGATGAGAGAAGAAGAGGCAGCTGTGCAGCAAAGACACAGAATAACTCCAGCTTTGTGTCTTTTCATTGTAGCTGAAGTCCGGGACAAACTGTTCCTTTTCACCTCAACACGAAACGCCTAATATTTTCTCTGAATACCAGACGATTCCGTCTTTTTACAGGACGGTTGGAAACTCTACTAACTAACCTTATGAATAAAATAAAGTTCACTATCAGTAACATCATAGCACCACCCAGCTGTATAGAAACTCCGTCATGCTAGCTAGACGCAGTACGAGTTATTGTAACTGACTGTAAAAAGTCAGCACAACGAAAATAAACTCCACCTAAACTTGGTTTATATCTGACCCAGATAGACTGCAGGTCATAACTTCTTACCTGAAGTTCAGTTCACCTGACACTTGGCCACCTCGGGTCTCTCCTCCTGCCTCCCCTTTCTCTCATCCACCTGCTGGCCTCCACCACTTGCTAATGTTACTGAATCTGAGGAAGTGAATCTGATATGGCAGCCTCGCTTCTGTCACTCTGCCCCAGGGCAGCTGTGGCTACAACTGTAGCTGCTTCTACCAGTGTGTGAATGTGAGAGTGAATGAATAGTGGAATTGTACAGTGCTTTGAGGGCCCCGAAAAGTGCTATATAAATGCAATCCATCATCATTATTATTATTATTGAGTAACGCCATAGCCACCACCAAACAACTGAGTTATTTTTACACACCGACCAGCATCTGGCCAATCCACCACCTTTCATTGTTTATGCCGTTACAAAGAAAAAAAAAAGTCACCGGGCCACCGAGCAAATGCCCGGTATGCCCGAAGTCTTTTCAAGTAATATTATAAACTCACCCTGTGCCTTTTCTTTCAGATTCACCATCAGGACGCGTGCCTGCTCCTGCACCTCCATCACCATTCATCTCCTCCTCACCGCTCACATACTCATCATCATCGCCTCTCCCTCCCCCGTCAATCTCTGTACCTTCTCCACCACCAGTCCAACAGAATGAGGAAGAAGTCAGTCTAAATGATCTTTCTTCTGATCAGCATATGCAGCAATCCTCCTACCAGCAGGCTTCAACTGCAGCCACCTCCCCACCCCCCTCCACCTCGCCACCAGTCATCACATCGTCACCGCTGTTCAACCTTCCCTTCGGCCAATCGACCCCGCCCCCATCCACCACATCTCCCCCATCATCCTCTGATCAGGATCAGGAACCTGAAGCTGGGTTGCCTTACTTTTCCACTTTATCCTCCTCACCCTCTTCATTGTCCTCTCACCCACCATCACCTCCAACGCCAGAGGAGGCCCCACAATCCCAGCGTCTTACCTCCCTTCACCTGGCAAAGAAGCAGGCTGATGCTGCCATCGCTGGGGAGAGTGAAGAAGAAGACAGTGAGAGTGGAGGTGAGGGAATCTTCCGTGAGCGGGATGAGTTTGTGGTGCGAACTGAGGACATTGGTACTCTTAAGGTGAGTCATGCCACAGGCCTCAGGAAGTATGTGTTCTGAATAGATAACTTATAATATACGCTGACTATCTGTGTCACTAGATGGCCTTGCAGACAGGCCGAGAGCCTCCACCTATCTGGAGGGTGCAAAAAGCTTTGCTCCAGAAATTCAGCCCAGAGATCAAAGATGGTCAAAGGCAGTTCTGTGCAACAAGTAATGTGAGTTTTTCAAAAAGACGTAATTTATGTTTAAGGACATAAACTGTTGGTGGACAGCTCTGGGTTCAAAACAGTTCAACACAGACCTGGTATTGTTCCCAGAGCCAGTCTCTTTGATGCTTGACGTTTTTCTCTTCTCAGCCTATTAAAACATAGCATTAAAGCAGTTTTCTGTAGAATGGATCATTATATTCTTTGCAACATTAGAATTTTTACAAATATATCTCTTTATGACATATTAATTGTTGTCTGTTCTCTCAGTATTTGGGTTACTTTGGTGATGCCAAAGTGCACTACCAGCGTTTATATGTGAAGTTCTTGGAGAATGTCAACAAAAAAGATTACGTCAGAGTGTGTTCACGAAAGCCATGGCACAGAGCTGGCCTGACTCTGAGGTAAGGCGAGAGAAAGACACTGAGTGGAAAGTGTAACCAGAACTGGCCTGCATCAAGGTTACCCTGGATTACCAGGCCCAGACTCCCCCCTCCCATAAAACTTGTTGATGAACTCTCAACACACATAGACTGTACCACACAAAAACAATTCAGTGACTAATTTCAACATTTTAATTAATCTATGTTTCATGTGCCTGTGCTTAAGACAAACACCAATTAAGTTAGTGTCTCTCCTCATGTCTACTGACTGACAGACGCCAGCCTCTACCTAAACAGCTGCTGACCATTCACAATCAGAGCCAACCTCGAATAGATAGTCGACACAAGGAGAGACGGAATGAAAGAGAGCTAATGGAGCAGAGAGAAAGAGAAAAAAGAGAGAGAGAAACAAGGAAAAAAGTAGAAACGGAACATAAGGAAAGAGAAAGGAAGGAGGAGAGAGATCGCAAAGAACAAGAAGAAGAGAGGCACAAGAAAGAAAAAGATGGTGGAGAACAAAATGAGAGGGGCCACAGAGATGTGAAAATGGAAAGTGAGAGTGAAAGAAGGGAGAAGGAGAAAAAAGAAAGGGAACTTAAAGAGAGGCAGCAAAGGAAAAAGGAAAAACAGGATAGGGAGCAGAGGGAAAGGATGAACCAAGAGAGAGGATGGAAAGAAAAGGAAAGATCACTGAGAGAACAAAAAGAGAGGGAGAGGATAGAAAAGGAGAAACAGGAGAGAGAGAGAGAACAAAAACTTAGGGAGAGGGACATGGAGACAGATGGTGAGCCGAAAGAAAAGGAGAAAGCTCAGGAAAAAGAAAAAAAGGAGAACATGGAGCAAGTCAACAGAGATTATACAATGGCATTAAAAGAAGAGAAGAACCGAGGAGACATAAAGATGGCATTTCAGGGAAGAGCCAAGACTTCAAAGGACAAGGCTGAGCCTCCACCCAAGAAAAGGAAGAAATGGTTGAAGGCGGTGCTGTCCTCTTCATCTGAGTCCGACTACTCCTTACTCAGTGATGATGAAGGTCAGCTGTTCTTTGAGTGCATATGATGCACACATTTATTTTTAACCCATTGCCTTCAACCAACGATTACTGTGTCCAGGCCTCTGTGCAGCTGGTTTTGTGTTTTAGGGCCTGCGCGGGGTGGAGTGAACAGTCGAGCCATGAGGGACATGTTCAGGAGCTATGTGGAGATGTTGGTCAGCACAGCACTTGACCCTGATATGATTCAAGCCCTAGAGGACACAGATGGTGAGCACTCAGTTCAAACAACACTGTAGTCTTAAGTCAGAGAAAAGCATTCTCCAAGAAAATGGAGAATGCATGCATGTCTGTCTGTATGATTCCAAGAATTTTTGTAATATGCAAAGAAAAACAGAATGCAGTATTTGGAAATTTCACATTTTTATTCAGCATTTCAACACAAATCAAATGTTTAAACTGAGCCATTTTAGTATTTGGTGAAATATATTAGCTCATTTTGCATTTGATGGCAAAAACAGTCGTTGAACTAAGTAGATGGAGTTGCTATATTATTGACAGAAGAACGTTGACCCATTCTCTTCGGTGTTGTCCACCCATCCATCCATCCATTCTCTTCCACTTATCCTTGTCAGGGTCGCGGGGGTGGGGTTGGAGCCTATCCCAGCTGTCTTAGGGCAAGAGGTGGGGTACACCTTGGACAGGTTGCCAGTCTGTTGCAGCGCTAACACATAGAGACAGACAACCATTCACACTCACATTTGCACCTATGGGCAATTTAGAGTTACCAATTAACCAATCCCCAATCAAATTTATTCAAATAAATCTTAAAGAGTACCTATAACTTGTATGTGCAGAACAGTCCAAGGAAAACAATTAAAAGGGCAACTAAATCCAAGAGCCTGGAGAAACTACAGAAGGTGGAAAAAAAGCATGAAACACAGGGAGGGATGACAATATGTGACAAAGACTAAGAGAAAGACAGCAACTATAAATATACAGAAGGGTGACTGGAGCAGAGATGAATCACCTGGGGAGCAGAGCTGCAACAAGACAGTGCACTCAAGACTAACTGATAAAACAGGAAGTAAGAAAGAACGGATATACTAACATGTGAAAACTTAACAAGGCATGAGGAACACAGGGCAGCATCACACTGTAAAATCGAATTAATTCCCAGAAATCAAAAAAACTATGCAAACTCGTTGCCTTAAAAACACTAAGTAAAGCTTACTTATGACTGTTAGGACAACTCATTCATTGCAAGTATGCAGTACTAAGAATAACTTGATGTTTCTGACTGTGCAGTACTAATTGTTTACCCACTGACAAACATTTCAAGTTCAACTAAATTAAATAACAATTTGTGGTAACTTACTTAAAAAAAAATCACATTACAGGGCTCTAGACTAACTTTTTGCCACAGTTGCACTGGTGTGCCTAACTTTTTTTCTCAGGTGCACCAGCACAAAAGTTAGGCGCACCCAAATGTTTCAACAGCATCGCTTAAAACCACAGTTTCACATGTGCACTTTTAAGGGGGCAAAATTGCTGTCCATACAGACAATATTCATTTGTAAATGATTAACTAACAATCTAACAAGACTAGAAAGGAGAAACTCAATGCATCATGGGAATCCCCGGCAGCCTACGTCTATCGCAGCATAACTAAGGGAGGATTCAGGGTCACCTGGTCCAGCCCTAACTATATGCTTTAGCAAAAAGGAAAGTTTGAAGCCTAATCTTGAAAGTAGAGATAGTGTCTGTCTCCTGAATCCAAACTGGAAGCTGGTTCCACAGAAGAGGGGCCTGAAAACTGAAGGCTCTGCCTCCCATTCTACTTTTAAATACTCTAGGAACAACAAGTAGGCCTGCAGAGTGAGAGCAAAGTGCTCTAATAGGGTGATGTGGTACTACAAGGTCATTGAGATAAGATGGGGCCTGATTATTTAAGACCTTGTATGTGAGGAGCAGGATTTTGAATTCTGGATTTAACAGGAAGCCAAAACAGGAGAAATCTGCTCTCTCTTTCTAGTCCCTGTCAGGACTCTTGCTGCAGCATTTTGGATTAGCTGAAGGCTTTTCAGCGAGTTTTTAGGACTTCCTGATAATAATGAATTACAGTCGTCCAGCCTGGAAGTAATAAATGCATGAACTAGTTTTTCAGCGTCACTCTGAGACAGGATATTTCTAACTTTAGAGATGTTGCACAGATGGAAGAAAGCAGTCTTACATATTTGTTTAATATGTGCATTGAAGGACATGTCCTGGTCAAAAATGACTCCAAGGTTCCTCACAGTGTTACTGGAGGCCAAGGTAATGCCATCCAGAGTAAGAATCTGGTTAGATACCATCAGGGGCGGATCTAGAGAAATTTTCTTAGGGTGGCAAAGAAATCAAATGGGGTGGCAAAATCGAAGCCTTGTTTTTTTTCAAACACATATGCAGGTGGTTACATGTGGTTAAAATGATTCAAATGCAGTAAGTATACACGTTTTTCATATAAATATAGTCTAGAACTTAATTATTGTCTGTAGCCCACATAATTACACACTTTAGTTACATAAAACATGTGAGTTTTGATGCTATGTACTGTATAGCCTGTATAATAAATAAATATTTAGCACAACAATTATAAAATCCAGAAAGCTACACAACATGGGGCGGTTCATTTACAAACACAAGTCTAACTTATGTTTCACACTGTTAGAAAACTGTCACATTGTTACAGTTTAAATTACACAAAATGTCAGAAATCTGCACCGTCATGAACAAAAATTTAAACCTAATTTTTCATGATTTGTTGGATTAACCCTCTGAGGTCTGAAATACAACCGGCCACTTTTGACTCCTTTTGAGTATACGTTTATATTTCACCCTCAGATTGTTTCATTTTATTTTTTCCCGTTGCCTTGTTTGGTGTCTTTTCAGCTCAACTGAATTTAGTTGTTTTTCACTGACATACTGCATCAGTGTTACTGATCTGAAATCACACAAAGAACTTAAAATCCTAGTAGTATTTTTTACTGTAAAAAAAAAACAAAACAGTAAATTTTTATAACTTGAAATGCAAATATAAATTGTACATTTTGTAAACATAAACAACTATTTATCTAAAAATGCAGCCAATACACCTGCCGTCTTTTTTTTTCTTCATTTTCCACAACCATTTAAAAATATTACTAAAACTAAAATGAGAGAACAATCAGGTGTCGCAATAAGATGCCCCACAAATGATGTGTGTCAGTAAAAAAAAAGTTTGTCCACCAAAAGACAGAACAGCACAGGGACAAACCTGCAGGTCTGACAACAGCAGCTGTATCACTCCGCTGGTTTTCTACTTAGTGACAGTGCTTACAAATGTGCCTCTGTGACAGTCATTAGTGCCCTCACTGACACACAAAACAAAACGACTACACAACAGAACAACTACACAACACACTAAGTATACACTCCACACTAAACGTCACAAATCTCCCACATCTAAACTCTCTCTCTCTCACTCGCTCTCTCTCTCTCACTGCCATTACCGTCCTTTTCCCTCTTCCTAAACAACCAAATCCTACGTGTTGACTGTTTTTTTTAATTGGTTGACATGGTGCATTTTTCCACCAATAAGAAAGAAGTGGCTTTTTTCCTTTCTTTACTGTTTTCGCGCTGTCCTTACAAAATGCTTAAAACACACCCACACAAAAACGTGACGACAGTATTTAGAAAAAAGCATGGCTGATATATATGATCATAACTCTGGATTTACTGGCCTGTAATTAAAATTTAAAAACTTTGAAGTCTGAATTTTCAATGTGGCTGAAACAGAGACTCAGCGTGGCTGCAGCTTGTTGCTCTATCAGCTTACATCAGTCATGTGATTTGGAGGTGCAGCGTGTCCGTGGACCACAGAGGGTTAATAACACTCACCTTCTTTCCATTTCCAGAGTGTAACATCCAACCACCTGTGTAAAAAGCGAAATTCCCATGGTGTTGTTCAGAATGTGCTCTGGCACAATCATAAGCATCGCTTGCTACTGAAAATAAGAAAAAAGCCGGTCCTGCTATGGGCTGAACAATTTCTTAATGGTGGAGGGGGAGACACTATCCAATATATTCAGTTTTAGTATTTATATTCACTGTTGACAGTAACTGCGCTCAAAATGTTAATGCTATCTTATTTTAATAAACAACACTGTCATATGCAAAACTGGGGTGGCACTTGGGGTGGCAAGAGATCATTTTAGGGTGGCACTTGCTACCCCATGCCACCCTTCTAGATCCGCCCCTGGATACCATATTTCTAAGCTTTTCAGGGCCGAGTACAATAACCTCAGTTTGATCTGAATTAAGAAGCAGAAAGTTAGCGGCCATCCAGGTCTTTATGTCTTTAAGACATTCCTGCAGTTTAACTCATTGGTGTGTGTTATCTGGCTTCATGGACAGATAGAGCTGGGTGTCATCTGCATAGCAGTGAAAATGTATGCTATGTCTTCTAATGATGCTGCCTAGGGGAAGCATGTATAATGTAAACAGAATTGGTCCTAGCACTGAACCCTGTGGAACTCCATAATTAACCTCAGTGTGTGAAGAGGACTCTCCATTTACATGCACAAATTGGAGTCTATTAGATAGATATGATACAAACCACTGCAGTCAGTACCTGTAATACCTACAGCATGTTCTAATCGCTCTAATAGGATATTATGGTCAACAGTATCGAACTGCTGCACTGAGGTCTAGCAGGACAAGCACAGAGATGAGTCCACTGTCAGAGGCCATAAGAAGATCATTTGTAACCTTCACTAAAGCTGTTTCTGTGCTGTGATGAGCTCTGAAACCTGACTGAAACTCTTCAAATAAACCTTCCTCGCAGATGATCTGTTAGCTGTTTGACAACTACTCTTTCAAGGATGTTTGATATGAAAGGAAGGTTGGAGATTGGCCTATAATTAGCTAAGACTGCTGGGTCTAGAGATGCTTTTTGAGTAAAGGTTTAACTACAGCCAGCTTGAAGGCCTGTGGTACATAGCTGATTATTAGAGATAGGTTGATCATATTTAAGATTGAAGAATTAATTAATGGCAGGACTTCTTTGAGCAGTTTTGTAGGAATGGGGTCTAAAAGACACGTTGATGGTTTGGAGGAAGTAATTATTGAAGTTAACTCAGAAAGATCAATTGGAGAAAAAGAGTCTAACTTAACATCAATGGTACTAAGAGTAGCTGTAGATAATATTACATCTGTGGGATGATTATTGGTAATTTTTTCTCTAATGATAA